CTTCCTTTTCTCATTCGTGGTGAGTTGCTTATTAGCAGTAGTGAACATGATTAATTGCTACGAGAACTTGAGATCTGTGTATTACCATATGCCTGTGTATTTTATGCACTGTTAGAATCTGTTTATCTGGGTTGTGTTTATAAAATGAATGGACTCCTGTTGTCTTCATGCGGCTTGTGATATAACACGGTTTATTTATATTTTCTTGATATGGCTTTACACGAGCCGAATATGTTGGCTTAGATAACTACCAAATTTCAACTGGCGTAAAAAAGAATCGTGCAACTTCTGTGTTTGCTACTGAACATTTATGAGTTATGACAACAATTTAACTATCACTTTACTAATATATTTAATTTTTCTGCGTTCGAAAATTATATAAATGCAAAACTATTTGTAGGTTCAGAGGTGTTCCACCATTTTTGTATGTAAGAGATGTTTTTGGGAATTTTCAATTCCTATCTTCTCATTCCATATCACAAAATACTGCGTAATGCAACATGCAAATATTCTCTCAGCTCAAGCTAGAGGACGAGGGCTAAAGAGTCTTGACAATATAAACGCACTAACAACTAAAACTAAAGAAGCGATTGTCTAAGTGAAATGCGTCTTAGCAACTAAAACTATGAAACAGGAAAATAACAACTAAAGAAAATAAAACGCGATCTACATGAGGCCAGCATGTTGCATGATCATGAACCATCTACACGTCAGCACATCCACATGGCACCCACCTTCCCCCTAAGTGGGAATTGGGTTGGGTGGGGTGGGGTGGGGGGTAATCACGCATTCCTAACTTGAGCAAGAAAGAATAAAAGTCCCGACCACCAAGAGATTTAGTGAATAAATCCGCAGGCTGACAAGAGGAAGAAATTTGATGCGAATTAATAAAACCAACCTTGAACATGTTGCGCACGACATGACAATCGATGTCTAGATGTTTAGTGTGCTCGTGGAAGATCGGGTTAGCCAAGATGTGCAAAGCCGCTTTGTTGTCGCACCAAATAGGAATAGGAATAGTGAGTTGCACAGCCAAATCCTTAGCCAAGTAAGATAACCACATGAGTGCATAGACCTTCATTGCCATGGATTGATATTAGGCCTCAGCCGATGAGTGAGGAACTGTTCTGCTTCTTGGATTTCCATGAAATCAAAGTTTGACCAAGGAAGATGCAGCAGCTGGTCAGAGATTTTCTAGTCATGGTACAACTGGCCACTATGCACCACAAAATGCCTCAAGCTGTAAGGAGGGAGAAGAAGCATAAAAAGGTCCCAAAGAGGGGCCACATTTGAGATATTTGAGTAAATGTATAGTTGAGGACCAGTGAGCATTAGTAGAAGCTTGGACATATTGACTCAGTTGTTGCACCACATAAGTGATATCAGGTCGAGAGAGATTGAGATATAAGAGTGGGCTAATAAGTTTTCTATATGCTCAATCATCTGAGAGAAGAGTAACGTTTTGTGAAGAAAGATTGATACCTTGGGGAAGAGGAGTAATCACATGTTTAGAGTCCATGAGTCTCATGTCATGATAATATCCAATATATATTTCCTCTGAGTGAGAAAAGTCCTTTGACAACATAATGATTTCAAGTCCCAAAAAGAACTTAGCAAGCCCCAAATCTTTGATGGTGAACAACTTGTGCATATAAGCTTTAAGGGACTGAATATCTGAAGCATGAGTCCCTACGACCATCACATCATCAACATATAACAACAAAGCTAAAAAGATGTAATTGCTGCTTTTTATGAAGAGACAATTATCATTCTCATATTGACTGAACCCATAAGCAATCAATTTATCTGAGAATTCAATGTTCCATTGCCTCGAAGCTTATTTTATGCCATACAAGCTCCTAGACAAACCTCACCCTTTTTGGCTGAGTATACCCCTTAGGTGGCAACATTTACACCCCCTCCTCCAAATAACCATGCAAAAATGCATTGTTTATATCATTGTAATGAACTTCGCACCTTTACTGAGATGCTAAAGCAAGCAAAAATCTCAGTGACATCATTTTTGCAACAAGTGAAAAAACTTTGTAAGAAGTAAATTCCCCCCTTTTGCAAAAAATCATTTGTCACCAATCTAGCTTTGTACTTGTCTATGGAACCATTTAGATTTCTTTTCTTCTTAGAAACCCATTTGGACCCAGTTGCCTTCTTCCTGTTGGTAAGTTAGTCAAAGTTCATGTCTGATTGAGTTATAAAGCCTCAAGTTCTCTGTCCATAGCCTCAATTCATTTCTTCTCCTTAACAGTAGTTCATAAAAGACTGGTTCACTAAAAGATTTGTCAATCTCAAAGAAAGAATAAATCTTCTCATCAAGTTCCCCACGATCATTGATATCCACTATATAGTCTGATAGCCAAGCTGGTGGTTGTCTTCCCCTTGTAACTTTACAAGGCTTAGTCTCAATCCATTACTTCTCCTTAACAGCTTGTTCATAAGATCGGTTCACTAACAGATTTGTCAGTCTCAACTAAGAAAGAATAAACCTTCTCATCAAGTTCCTCATGATCATTCATATCGAGTACATAGTCTGATAGCCAAGCCGGTGGTTGTCTTCTCCATTTAACTTTACAAGGCTGAGGAGATACAACTTTATCAGGCAATGAAGTAGGACCAAGAGGATAAGTTGCCTCATTTTCAAGCAAAATTTCTGAAATAATTGGCAATGGAATCGACCTCTCCAAATTTTCTGCAGTCATGAAAGGGAAATTTACCTTAATAAAAGGTTGCACCCCTAGATATAAACACGTCATTTGTGTCCAAGTTAAATACTATATATCCTTTAACACCATCGACATATCCAAGGAAAACATAAGGAGATGCTCTTCAAACAAACATCCTTTTATGAGGTTATACCTTCTTTGCATAACATAGGCTTCCAAATATTTTAAACTTGTCATAGCTTGAAGAATTCCCATACAACATCTCAAGAGGAGTTTTCCACTTGAGAGTTTCAGTAGGTAGATAACTGATGGTGTGAACAACTACCAAAAGTGTATAAGGCCATAAGTCCTTCCTCAGTTTTTCTTGCAAATACAATGATCTAGCAACCTCCAAAATGGACCTGTGCTACCTCTCCACTACTCCATTTTGTTGTGGAGTGTATGGACAAGACCTTTGATGGATTATGTCATTATCCTGCTGTTGGGTTCGCCTGTACCGTACGGGTTATACGCAGCGGAAAATTATGTTTCAAAAACAAGTATTTATCATATAAATACTCAACCCATACGTACATATAGCGAATGCACGAATCGTCATCATTTAAAAACATGTAATAATACAAGTTTTGATTTGTTGTAAGTAAATTAAAATTTACCTTTGTTCTTGAACTCCTTCAAAAATGAAGATGGTTGAGGAAATCAATTCCCGGTTTGGTAACTTCTATTTGTTGATGTTACTCGCTTTAGGAATCCAAATGTCTTCCCTCTAATCGTATCCACCTTTTGAATTCGGTTACGAAATAGTTTCTTCGCTAGTAGAAACTACTCGGTTTTATTCAATATGTATAGAATATATTTTGAGGAGATTTTACAAGAACTCTTTCTTGTTTTAGATTTTGAAGAACACTTCTTCTTTTCTCTCTTTTTCAACTCTTGAAAAACTTAAGATCAAATCTTGGATTAAAATGAACATCATGTATGTCCATATTTATACTAAACATTTTAGTATAAAATAATAATATTTGGTGGAATATTTTCATAAAATATAAAAAGTCTTCAAGAATATTTTCATAAAATATTCATTCTTGAATAGGACTATTCCCACTAAATATTGTATTAATAAAAATAAGATTAATTATGTAGAGTAGTTAACAACTCCAAACCACCATAATTAATTTATTCTTATTAATATAAAATAATAATTCTTGAAAACAATTTTTCAAGACTTTATTATTTTAATCTTTTGTCCCATCTCCTCATTTAATAATCATATTATTATTTGGATTTGAAATTTAAAATCTAATTTTAAATTCCAACTATTTATTTAGTAATTTCATTAATTACTAAATTAATATCCAAAAATACAATTAATCAATCTAATTGATTAATTTAATATATTCCTTTAATTGACATCTAATCAAATTAGTTTTGTCAATTAATTCTAACTCTTTAGAATTACTATTTGAATTTTACCTTCATTCAAAAATTGGTGTGACCTTTTAGGTTCACAATTAATACTAGTAGTGGGCTTACAACTCTTTGTAATTTGAATTAATCTAATTAATTCTTATTCATGAAATTAACTCCTTAATTTCAAGAACCCACATATCATGGGAACATCTAGCAAGTAGCATGAATCTAGTATTAAGTGAATAGCGAGTAAACCTATTTCGATTACAAGTCCATACATGTAAAATCCTTTCGACATCCAATTTCCCGATTAAATCTTGGGTATGATTTTGTCGAAACCCAAATTGATTTAATAACTATGATTCCATTTCAAGTTTAGTAATTCGTTTATGAATCTCTATTCATCCCGCCTTGGCCAAGGACTTTGAATTACTAACTATGAAACACATAGGAAATTCACGTATCTTCATACGTGTCGAATCCTTTGTTGGCCACTGACAAACTTCCATACATATTAATATAATACCCAAAATATCCCTTTATACGATTGTGCTAGCAACCAAAAGGATAAATCAAAGTAAAATATAATATGCACAAAGTTACCATCGTGCCTCAAGTCTAAGGATTAGTCATGTACTATTGTAACATGAAAATTCTTATTCGACATGATAAACTTTCATTAAGAATTTTCATACGGTCATGTTCAGTGAACTTGTTCTCTAACAAGCACCCACATATATGTATTTGCGTCCCACGCTAATGTTGATGGAATGCAACATTCTTGTCCAACAAGTATACATCATATGTTCAAGTCTTTTCCGGATTTATTCGATATCCCATCTCGAAACATCCAACGACTTGGAACTGTATTTAAGATCACAGCTTTCAAGGTATTTTCCATGATCACCATCTCTATGCGCAACCATACCTTATAGCTATATGTGATCTAGGGATTTTATCTTAAGTGCAAATATAGGATAAATGCTTACTCTTAAAATAAAGTAATGCCTTTTAATTAATATAATTCCAATAGATTGTATTTACAAGTAGAATACGTCCAATCTGATTGGAACGCCGGGTATCCTACTCTAACACCTGCAACAAAGATTGCATCTTTCTGTTCAAAAACTCTGAACCATTATCTATCCTCAACTGTTTCACGTTCAAAAACTCTGAACCATTATCTATCCTCAACTGTTTCACTACCAACCTAAACTACACCTTTACCATATTCAAGAAGAACTTGATGTGATTATGAGCTTCTGTCTTGTATTTCGTAAGGAATATCCAAGTGTCTCGAGTAAACTCATCTACTACAGTAAGCATATAAGAGGTAATAGTCAAAGATGGTTCCTTATATGGTCCCCAAACATCAATATAAAGAAGATCAAACATATTTTCAGCTTTGATGTTGCTCAAAAGGAAAGACAACCTGCACTATTAGCTCTATGATAGGTATCACAAACATCTAGATTCATCTAATTACATTTTTCCTTTAGGAGATCTATGTGTCTCAAACATGATATAGAGATATGTCCAAGTCTTTTATGCCAAAGTTTTAGCTTAATCTTCCTTGTACCTTTCCTTCAAGTGAATTGAAACCGAAATGTTCATTTTCCATCACATATAATCCTCTAAGTGCTCTTCCAAAAACAACTATAGTGTTTCTTTTAACTTTCTGCAACCGGCATTCCTTGTTAGTGAACACAAAGCTTATATTTTTGTCTTCAATGAGTTTCTCCACAGACAACAAATTGAAAGTGAACTCAGGAACTATCTGTACATTCTTAAGGACAATGTTTTTGTTTAACTAAACTTCACCAACCTGATGTGCTTTTATCTTTGATCCATCAGGCAAATTCACAACAATGGAAACTTCAATAGAGTATGAATTACTTATTAACCCATCATTAGAATGAATGTGTCTACAAACCCCAGTATCTATGATCCAACTCTCTTTACCTAGGGTATTAAACAAAGAAAGAGCGTAATCCGCCTTATTACTTGAGTAGTCCACAAAATGAAAAAAGGATTGGGTTTCTGTTTCTTGCTGCAGTGAGATATATTTAGCTATTTCCCTTTGACCCATAATACGCATGTCTTTTATTTGATCACCTTGCTGAGACCTGTTATCAACCACTTTCCTTTATGTTTCACTTCCATCTCCCAAATTCACTATTGTGTTCAATCTCTGCTGTTTCAAATCCTTATACCAATATGGATATCATGCAGCTTAAAATATCCCTGTACATCATGACCATTAAAATCACAATGACTACAAAATAGTTTAGTTTTTTACTCCTTTGAAATTATGTTAAGTCCTCTTTCTCTCTCTAAATTCTCATTGTTCTGGCCATATGTTTCTTCTTTTTTTTTTTGTTCCCCTTCCATATGAACCAGTTCTAACTCCTCTTCTACCCACACTTTTCACTATTAGAGCCGATGTATCTAGAGAATCTGTGCTCATAAATTGCACTATTTTTTTTTTATTTTTATTATTTTTGCTTATCTACCTTCAGTATCATCGAATAAGCTTTGTTTATAGTCGGTAAGAGATCCAACAGGAGGATTCGATTCTCAACCGGCTCAAACACTTTATTCAATCCCATCAAAAATTGCATCAACTTAATTTCCATGTTATATTCATTAAAGGCCTTACTAGATCCACACATACATTCAGGCAAAGAGATAAGACACATATATTCATCCCACAGGCATTTTAGTTTTGTAAAATAAGCCGTAACTGAGAGAGTACCTTGAGTGAAAGTAGCGATTTTCTTTTTCAATTGGTACCTTAGGGGTCTATTGCTTTCTCCATAACACTCAACAAGCTCATACCGAAACTGTTTCAAGCTTTTGAAATATATAAATGCCTCGATTATGTCCTTTGAAATCGAGTTGAGAAGCCAAGAGATGATAATGTATTGTACCTTCTTAAATTGCTTGATGTCTTTCGATCTCTGTTCAGGTACATCAATCATGCCATAGATGAAACCGAGCTTTGTTTTCGTCCCCAATGCAAGTCTCATAATGCGACTCCAATGCAAGTAATTGTTGCCTATGAGTTTATTCGTGACCACGACCATTCCTAGGTGATCAGAGTCGTGTAGAGATAATGGATCACTGCCTTGAGCATAATTTCTGGTGACGATCTCCTGACCTCGACCTTGCTCGTTTCGATTCTCATTTCGCGCCATAAATGAAGCTTTTGTCGAGCTCTGGCACCGTGTAGGTTGATATTTGAGAAATCTTGTACTATTTTGTGGTTTAATTTATATATTTGAGTATTTGATTTTAGTGTATTATACAAGTTTTCTCACATATTTTATTTAGTGAACGGACCAATATTCGTATTTTGTGTTTATTTTGCAGTTTTTATGCATATTAGTGATGTGGCAACTAAGTAAGCGATGATGTGGCCGGAAATTGATGAGTGGACGTGGCAATGCTTAATGGATTAGGAAATAATTAAAGAATGTTGCTGAATTGGAGGACTTGTGATGAGGATTGCTGCTGATGGGCAAAGTAGTGGATTGCTATTGGATTCTCAATTTTTTGTTATTGTTTGACTTTGGGAAAAAGGAAAAGGGGAATTGACTTGGAGAGTTTGATGGGTTTTGGATTCTATTCTAACAGCTGCATGGCATCAAAGGAAAGAGAAAGAACAATTAATTCATATTTTTTTATCCTGGGACTTTCGTATGTGAACAGAGGCTTGGTGCGACGATTTGGAGATCCGGGACAAGAAAGGTGGACACTTTGGTGCGAAGCGTACAACCCATAAGGTCCTCGAGAGTGGATTCTACTGGTTGAGCCTATTCAAAGATGCATATGATTTTTGTAAGTCTTGCGACAATTGCCAAAGGACAGGTAATATTTCGAAGAGAAATCAAATGCCTCAAAACCAGATTCTCATTTGTGATATTTTTGATGTTTGGGACATTGACTTCATGGGTCCTTTTCCACCTTCTTTTGGTAATGTCTATATACTACTTGCTGTTGATTATGTTTTGAAGTGGGTAAAAGCAAAATCCACCTAGACGAACGATTCAAAAGTGGTTGCAGGATTTCTTAAATCTAATATTTTCTCTAGGTTCGGGATTCCAAGGGCTATGATAAGTGACTGTGGGACTCATTTTTGCAATAAGAAGGTGGATGCTTTATTGAGGAAGTATTGGGTCCTTCATAGACTCTCCACCGCCTATCACCCGCAGATGAGCGGTCAAGCGGAGACGTCCAATCGAGAGATTAAGTCGATTCTTGAGAAGACGGTCAAGCCTAATAGGAAGGATTGGAGTATCCGACTCGAAGACGCATTATGGGCATACAGGACAGCGTACAAGACCCCCATCGAGATGTCCCCATATAGGCTCGTCTTCGGGAAGCCGTGTCACCTACCGGTGGAGCTCCAACATAAAGTGTTCTGGGCAGTGCAACAGTGCAATTATGAGTTCGATGAGGCGGGGATCCAACGGAAGTTGCAACTTCACGAGCTTGAGGAGATAAGGAATGATGCATTTGAGAACTCCTTGATCTATAAGGAGAAGACGAAGGCGTTTCACGACTCCAAAATATCAAGGAAAAATTTTGTCGAGGGGGAGAAGGTTCTACCTTTTCACTCTCGATTGAAGTTATTTCCTGGGAAGCTACGTTCGAGATGGGTCGAGCCCTTTGTGATCACCAAAGTTTTTCCTCATGGAGCCGTGGAGATTTATAGCCCGAAGACGAAGAAGATTTTCAAAGTGAATAGGCATCAGCTTAAGCCGTTTTACGAGGGATTCCACAGTCAAGATGTGGAGCGGGGTGTTTTGGAGGCACCGCCTTCAACTTAGAAAAAAGGGAAGTAATAAGTCGAGCCAACGACAATAAAAAAAGGCGCTAGTTGGGAGGCAACCCAATATTTTTGCTCGTTTCATTCTTATTATTATTATTAGTAGTAGTAATATTATTATTATTGATTATTTTAGTTCAATTTTAATGGCTGAATTTGTTTTCAGGAGATGCAGTGCTCGGTTAATGAATTTCTGTCATTGGTACATTAATGAAGAAGTTGGGCCAGAACAGTTTAGATGTGGCTGAAAAATGGTTGGACAATTGGCAATGGTTAGCAGATCCAATGGGATGAATGGTCAGGCCAAAACACATTGAAGTGGCAGCCCAAATACATTGAAGGTTAACAGCTGGGCCTAATTGCTAAGCGCCTGTTGGTCGAAGAGAAAAATGGAAATTGGGAAAAGGTGGTTCAAAATACGAGAGAAGTCTCTATCTTCCTCACTCGCGCATATCAGAACAGAGAAAAAACGAGTTAGGTTTTCGTGAGCTCCAAAATTTCAAAAAATCCCACTTCTTCTCCACAAATCCGAGCAAAAATTTGAGATGTCAGACGCATTGAGAAAAGCGATGGAGGAACTGGAAGCCAATTTGGCGGCTTTACCCCGACCGGAGGAAAGGCCGCGGGAATCGGCCGACCAAGGCAACGCCGTCGTGGAGCACCCTTCGCCGACGAAGAGGAGAGTTGATGCCGCTGTGCGCTAGCCACGACTGCCGCCGTCGCGCACAAGTCAAGAAGCTACAGCCACCAGAAAAAGGGCCGCCGCTAGCTCGTCACAGACAGAGGCCGCCAGTCAACCTCAGTCCGCCGTTCGTCAACAGCCCGCCGTCGAGCCCATACCGAGAGGAACTTCACTGACCACCAGAAAAAGGGCCGCGGCTGCAGCCACTATTCAAGGTCAATCTCAGGCCGTCGATTTGCCAGGTTCTCAGGCAGCCGAGCTGATACCACCATCTCCGCCTATCGGCCCTGAACATCAACATCAACAGGGAGAAGCTTCTCGAGCCGAGAAGGTCGTTGCCACGCGTCAATCGCCTCGGGTCGCCAATTTGCCATCGTCTTGTGCTGCCGACTCTCACAAAGCACCAGCGAAGAAGAAACAAGCAGTGGCCACTGACCTGGCACCTAAGCCCAATCCATCGACAGAGAAGAGTGCCACAACCGGTGATAGAGAGTCTTCGACTGCCGAACCCGAGCCCGAGCCACTTCAGGAGGAGGCTCCGCTGGTGAAGGAAGTCGTCACTACTGTCCATCGATCAGCCCGAGTCGCTGGTCCTGTCTTGATTGCACCTTCGAAGGAGAATACACAGCAGCCGGGCCCATCGAAGCGGGGCTCTTAGAGGCTTAGGTTGATAGATGAGCCTTCGCCACCTTCCTCGCCCGCATCTACCCCAGCCGCTACTCCGCCAGCCACGGATATAGGTGAACCCGCTGTCGACCCTGTCCCGGCACAAGAGGACAAAAGAGAGCCTGTCAACTTCCCCAACACCCACGGTATTCAATTCCATTCGTGGGCTCAAGCCAATTCTTATGAGCGGTTGACGGGGCGGAAGATAGTTCCCACCATATATGTTGATGAATTTCTGTTGAAAACTTTGGGGTTGCACGATGATGTGATGCAGATGCGAGACGTTATGGGGTGGAGAAAGGTGATGACAGGAAACTGACCGGTGTTCGCCGACCCAACACTCGAGTTCCTCAGCACCTTCCGAAAGAAGACTGAGGATGTGTTGGAGTTTCAACTGGAGAACCGAGTGTTCAAGTAGAGCTACTCCGAGTTTGCAAATGCATTAGGGCTGCCCCAAGATGTCCCTGCAGCTAGTTCGTTCGAGGTGGAGAAGCGGGCTTGAAGCGAGTTCGCCGCGACGGGAGCCGGAACGCGCAGCACATCCATCCGTAACCTAATTATCCGCTATGTCCAGCGGATGATGGTGTATCTATACACCGGCCAGAGCTCGAACAAAAACATCGTGGACAGCGACATGATCTGGCAGATATGGGGAATGCTCCATGGCCACGTGATGCGCTCAGACGACCATTACATTGAGACATTGCTCGTCAAAAGTGCTCGGAACGACGAGATAGCGCTGGGAGGATTAATCACGTTCATTGCTGAGCATGCCGGGGTGGAGCTGCAGAGTCAAGTGCCGATTGGAAGGGTGTCGACATTGGACGCAAGCTTGCTGGGACCGGGCCAGTTAAATCTGTTGTTTAAGGACAACGATTATTTTTGGCGAGTTGCCGAAGCCGAACTCATTGCTTTGCCGAACTTGGAGTACACGACGATTCGTGTCAGCCGCAATATCAAGATGGACCACCCAACGATGCCACAGGTTGCAGCGCAGCTCCCGGACCTACCGAACCCGAGCCATAGGAGCAGCTCACGTGAGGAGGACTAGCTGCGCAGACGAGTCGAGGAGCTCGAGGAGGAGAACAGGAGATTGGAGCTGGAGAAGAGCGAGCTGAAGGCACAGGTGACGAGATTGTCCGAAGGAGCAAAGGAGAATGCACAACCACGAGTGAGGAGGACTACCCGCCGATGATCCGGTGACTTCGATTCCCTTATTTTGCTTTATATAATAGGAATTTAGTCTGGGGAGGGTTGTTGATGGGTTTGTCCGTGTTTCATTTTATGTGCATATATTTTTGCTTTGGTCTGTTTTGGTGGTTAGCTGCTGTTGATTTGTTTAGAGTCATGTCTGGTTGTTTTTGCTGTTTAGTTGCTTTTGGTTGTGGCTGAGTAGAAAAAAAAAAATGGGAAAAAAGAATGTGATTGAGTTTTAGTGTCGTATGTGGAATTTCGCAATGATGATTTGAGTGTCCATTGGTTTTAAAGTGCTAGTTATGATGACTTGGATTAATGATTTCTAGTGAAATTCTTGAGGTGTTTTTATTCGAGGGACAAAGACATGATGGTTGACATTTATGTGTTTTATTTGTAGTGAGTTGGTCTTGAACTGTTTATATTCTTGAAATGTGCTGGTGACTATTCTGCTTAATGTTGATTGTGTGAGATAACTTGACGTGGAAAGTTGGGATATGAATGTCTCGGCGTGGGCTGCAACAGCTGTCAGTCTGTGAAGCTTTAGTAACACTCTAGCACGAATAGCTAAATAGACTGTGACGGAGCTTCCATTCTCAAGTAAAAAAAGAAAGAAAAAAAAAAGAGAAGAAAAAAAAATGAAAGAAAGAAAAGAAGAAAAAAAAATCGAGACGTTTGATTTCTGGCTAGAAGCGAATAGGAACTAAACCGGTTGGCAAAGAAAGGGATGTCGTTAGTTGCATGATTGGTATACTCGGTGAAGAGATTGATAAGCTGCGGTAATTCACTGAATTGATATTTGATTGTTGGCGTTCTAAAGATGATTTCATTTCGAGTCCGGATTATTAATTTGGGAAGTTGTAGCTATACACTATGTGAGATGTGTGAAGACCTGGAGCGAAAATTCCACGTACTTGTTTTTTTTGTTTTGTCCGTTCTTTGTGTCTAGTTCTATGTTGCTTGGGGACAAGCAATTGTTTTAGTTTGGGGAGGTTTGATATGTGAGAAATCTTGTACTATTTTGTGGTTTAATTTATTTATTTGAGTATTGGATTTTAGTGTATTATACAAGTTTTCTCACGTATTTTATTTTGTGAACAGACATACACCAATATTCGTATTTTGTGTTTATTTTGCAGTTTTTATGCATTAGTGATGTGGCAACTAAGTAAGCGATGACGTGGCCGAGAATTGATGGTTGGGCGTGGCAATGCTTAATGGATTAGGCAATAATTAAAGAATGTTGCTGAATTGGAGGACTTGTGATGCGGATTGCTGCTGATGGGCAAAGTAGTGGATTGCTATTGGATTCTCAATTTTTTGTTATTGTTTGACTTTGGGAAAAAGGAAAAGGGGAATTGACTTGGAGAGTTTGATGGGTTTTGGATTCTATCCTAACAGCTGCGTGGCATCAAAGGAAAGAGAAAGAACAATTAATTCATATTTTTTTATCCTGGGACTTTCGTATGTGAACAGAGAGGCTTGGACGTGTAGAGAGGCAGAGGAGAAAAGTTCAACTATTTTGCTGCTGAGAATTCACTTTGAGCCAGGATTGTATCAAAGGAGTTTGGTTTTATTTAATTGCTTTTGTTTAATTGCAGACCATGACTTATTAATATTTATGTTTTTATCATTTAGCTATGTGTAGCTAAACGTTTATTCGGTTCTAGGGACGTTGAACCCTCGATGACTATGTTCGATTAATGCAATTTATTTCATTTTCACTTGCCGTATAAAATTGTTTGTGTTATTCTAGTTTCATGTCATAATGTGTGATTTTTAATTTAGCTTGATCACCTAAGTTAGGAATTGCATGTTAATTTCTAGAGTTGAGGTTTCGATCCGTAATTGTCGTAGTTCTTAATTCAATTGTAGCAACTAACAGTCGTGCATTGTTAGGGATAACACAACATAAGTTACATGAACCGAGCTTATGTGTTTGTGGCTTAGATCGGTCTATTTTCCTGGATTTTAATGCGACTAGTGGATTAAGTTAGGAGAGCTTATTCCGAGTTATTCGCTAGTTAGAATTAATTAAAGAGCGTATTTCGATTAAATAAAAATTAAGGGAAAATTCGGGTAGAAGAGCTTATTGCTATCTAGGACCGGTAGTTTTAGAAGACGAGTGAAATTTGATAAAAGCATTAATTGGGCTAGTTATTCAAGGGTGTAGACTAACCTGGAACCCGATTCCATTCTCATATTCACTAGATTATTTGTTATTTTCGGTTTCATTATCTTTGGCATCTAATTCATTTATTTTTAGTTTTAGCTTATTTTCATGTTAAAAGGAGTTTCACAATTTTTTTATGTAAGAGATGTTTTTGAGAATTTTAAGATCCTATATTCTTATTCCATATCACAAAATACTGTGTAATTCAACGTAAACGTATTTCCTCAGGTCAAGCTAGAAGACAAGAGCTAAAGAGTCTTCTCTTAATATAAATGCAGAAGCGATTGTCTAAGTGAAATTCGTCTTAGCAACTAAAGTCGTAAATCATGAAAAAAAACAACTAAGAAAAATAATATGCGACCCATACAAGCCCTGCATGCTGCATGATCATGAGTTATCCATACGTCAGCAAGTCCACATGGCAACACCATTCCACTCATCTTTCTTTTTAATTTTGGCCAAAATGTATATTTTACTATCACATTTTAGGTTCTACTATTTAAATCAAACTTTTGAATAATTGCAAAAAATCATGAATTTGTCTCATTATTGCAACACAAATCTAGATTCAACGCAAGGTCAGTTTTTTTGGCCAATATGATCGATAACTTAATAGAACGTGATAGATTTATTTGCCGACTAAGACGTAGCATCAATATATTAACTATACACACATACACAACAAAAAAATAAAAATAAGTAAATGAAATAAAGAATCAGCCTTCTTAGTTTTTCAAACAAAATTCAACTTTACAAAAGTTAGTAAATAATGGTATCACCTTCCAGTTCTGCCAGACGTTGCTATCGTTTTCTGTTCCATCTCTCTTCCCAACTGAGGCGATGAAAGAACCAGTGGTGTTGGGCCTATATTGCATCACTTCACCCCATTTCTTCATATTCCATTGAAGAATTGGAGTTAAAATCGACTTAAGAGTGGGGCCTAAATAGGAGTTTATGAGGTCATCTCGGTTAGGAGACACAAGCATTGCTGATATTTACCCCAAAAGGCATAAAAGTTTCATTTCTTTCATTTCAGTGGAGACCTCATGCCCACCTTATGAACCTTGAAGTTGAGACCTCGTTCCTTGTTCCTCTCATTTTGGACTTTCTGACTATGGTCCCTAAGCCCTATGGAGTACTAACGAAAGGAAGTGATTGGACGAAGGAGCAAAGCTTTCTACTCATCAGGACGTGCTAGCATGCCAGCTAGTATGAAGCAACATAGTGATTAACCCGAGAGAGGCCTATATTGGTATAATCTATCCTAACGAGAGACAAAAGCAGTTAAAAAATAACTAGAGATATATGTTAAAAGGAAATTTTAAGCTTTAATTATAATCTAAACATAAAAGATGGTTTCGAGGTTTTTTAGGCTTGTCAAATTACATGGGTGCTTTTTATGTCCACTATAAGATAAATAAAATGTATGTTAGTAAATTAAGTTTTGTTAGTTTTTGTTTAGTATCAATAACTTTGCTTATTAAACCAAAATTACTACTCATATGTTATTATATATATATATATATATATATATATATATGGATGAGTTTCAGTGAGGAGTGTTCTCAGTGAAAAATAAAAATACATTGGAGTCATAAGATCTGGTAATCCAACAAACAATACCAAAATTTTATACTAATTAGGGGTATTTTGGACATTACCCCCACCCTACCCACCTCCTCTCTCTCACACAAACACGCACCTCCACACCTCCCCACTGCCCCCGCTTCCCTGCACCTGATGCCAGCCAGATCCTACATGTCGTAATAAATGACGGCGACGTTTTGTTTAGATTCACCGCGGATGTTGACGGCAATCCCCAACGAGATACGCGCCTATGGTGTTAGGTTCACGCCGAAGATGGCGACGGCAGTCACAACATACTCCAGCGACTTAAAATCAAATGCAAGGTACAACGCGCTGGTGGATACGACAGTGAGGAGGCAGAAAGT